AGAAATAAATAGGTAAGTTATTTGAGACAAACAACGTTAGTTATGTGTAGCATTAAGAATGATATAGGGAAACTATTATATTATATAGCAATAAATAGAAAACATTATGTATCTTCTTATTTAGTTAACAAGAACCATGTTCTAGTTTTCGTAATGAAAACGTTAACGATCTACAGTACTTCAGTACATGTGACATGGATCCATTTAGCATATTAAAAAAAAACTATGTGAAGATAAACAGCATGGTTCTTTTTAGCTATTAAAAAGTTACTTATTTAGGGTTGACCCTGAAGGACTTTTATTTTCTCCGTTTTGGCTTGGTATATTGCCAGGATCTTTTGTGAACGGGTAAAGGACACGTCTGGTGTTCTACCTAAATACATAGGTCAATTTCACTTGAGGTGTGGGTTGGTTCTTGTTTGCATAACTATGTCCAATTATCATTATAATAACATTTACTTTTTAACTATAGACCAAGCAAGTTAACAAAAATGTGAACTCAATAAACATTACATTAGCTACTCGAAACACTTCCAAGTCGATTAAGTGCATCCGATCCGCAACAAGTGCTAAGGACAACTGATAAAAATCCGACGACGACAGCCGAAAAACGAAGACAGCATAAAAACCAACCATAATAATCTTTTGTATGAAGCTTAGTTTCGAGTTCTTAGGTTTTCGCGATTGTTACACATGGGAAATGAAACTATTTTTTCGGATCTTAAATTGAGTACATTTGTTTTTTTAAACAAACCAACGTTTCGGGTCCTTTACAGGTCCCATGGCCACGGTTGACTGAGATGGTATAGTCATCAACAGTTATGTCTAATATTAATGCCAACCACCATCAACCACACTATTTTTTACTATAGTTTGCATATGATGCATAACAAATTATGTTAGTTATATAGACCTGCGAGGTTGTCATTTAACAAATAAACCTGTATGATCTCATTTTGTGTAATAGATAAATTCGTGTACTATACCTTTATTCGATTATCTCCAAGCTCTAACAACTCAAGCTTTGGGAAGTGGTCGACGTTCTGTATTTCGGTAATCTTATTGGAGCTGATGAATAACTTCCGTAGATTTAGCAGCTTCGAAACCCCACCGATCTCTCTTATGCGGTTGAAAGAAAGGTCGAGGATCCTAGGAGTTGATTAAATGTATTTACTGAAGAGTTTGAAATTAAATTAAATGAAATATTTATTCGCAGGCAAACACGGTACAAGATATTATTATACAAGGTGTCATGATCACGTGTTGCACCAGGTCCTGACATACAAATATTAAAATTAGATTGAAATTAAATAATGTCATAATAATTAAAACTAAAATTTGTCTAATAAGCAATGTGAAATAAAACAATGAAACAATGCCAATTAAGTATCAACAATTTTGTAGATTATCCTCTCAGTGAATTCTGAACTGGCGAAATCATTGATTACTTCGACGGGGTTACAACATTTAAAAGAAGAAGAAAAGAACATAAAGAAGTATGAACAGCACAAATACAAACAAAATATTAATTTCTTTTCATTTAAAAAAAAGCTTTGATGTCACACAAACACTGATCACATAACAAGTCAAAGAATTTCTTTTTAAATATGTATAAGGGTAAGTCTGCGATAGCTGCAGGCAAAGCATTATATATCTTTATGGACATATTATAGTAATTCCTAGAAAAAAAAGTAGTGTTATGGGAGGGGCCAGCCAAGGGGTTTGGAACTATTTAAAAAAGTACACACTTCACGTTCTGTGGTAATTTTGAGACAGACTCGAGATTTTTATTAGGGAAATATGTACGAGATTCTTATACAGGCTCTGCTGATAATAGTGCTTTGCTAATGTACTTAGTACACTCAGCCACTTCTTAATCTTTAGAGCGGTTACACACGGCAACACACGTTTGTACCAATGCAGTCACTTGTTTGCATCGATGCAATCGCCTATAAATCGCAAGTGTAGCGTTTCACGAACGCGCGTTTACATGCGCGTGTAACCAATCTTACCATCACTTTTTTTTATGTAAATGGCATAACATACGATTTTAGCATACTATTTTAACAGTTTATATACTGGCCCACTGTACCTCACCCACATAATAGTATACACCTGCTGAATATAGGCCTCCCCCAAAGATTTCCAGACTAACCGATTGGACGCGACGTGCATCCATTGGATACCCGCCGCCCTTACCAGGTCCATGAAGTAAGGTGCCATCCTACTGAACGTCTTCCGGTTCGTGGTCTCCATTTGAGAACTTCTGCCCCAACAGTCATCAGTTATGCGACCTATGTGCCCTGCCCAGTGCCACGTCAACTTACTAATCCTTTGAGTTATGTCGGTGACTTTCGTTCTTCTACGGGTGTCCTCATTTCTGATACGATCACATGCAGAAATGCCGAGCATTGCTCGCTCCATAACTTGTTGAGTAACTTTGAGATTTTTTATGAAGCTCGTAAGTGACTATGTCTCAGAGCCATAGGTCATCACTGGCAACGTGCACTGCTGCAAAAATTTGCAATTAGTATAAAACTTACTCTAAATTGACGAGGTTGTCCAAGTTCTCAATGACTGTGATCTGATTGTCATACAGTTCTAGTTCAAGTAGTGTGCTTAGCGTGTCTAGACCTTCTATTTTCTTGATAAGATTCCATCGGAGGTATAGCCTGTGAAAATCCATGATAATTAACTTTCGTATATTAATGTTACTGAGATAAGTTTATGGTACATATTAATTGAAATGTGTCTAAAGAACTAATGATTTTAATGTATATGGTAATACATATTGCATTAAAACATATACATTTCAATTGTTTTCATAATTCTGAACAGTAATAACTGATGTGAAGTTGTTTATTATCCCAATTAATACAAAATGTTTATTTTAACTAAAGATACAAAACAGATTAGTGGCAAGGCTTTACAAGAATGCTAATGTTTTTTTTATACAAATCTACAAGTGAAATATCCAAAAAATAAATAATGAAAAGTAAAAGTTAAAGTTTATGGCAATGAGGACAGTAGATGACATATGAAGATTTGAATAAACTAATTTTTGATTTATTTTACGGAGCTTTTATATGTGTCACGCCGATTTCACACCACCGCCAGCAGTCTAAACACGCCATTCACAATCGGCGCACATGTGTAGTATATACGCTCAGTATATAATAATAAGACATTTATTCATAAGCACATCTACAAAAAACAGTTTCACGGTTTTGGAAATGTGGAATCTAGTGCCAAAGAAAAGGATGAGGCCTCAACACTATATGGTGCTTTTTGTAGGTTCCAACTTCATACCGATGCTGACAATTATCAAATTTCACAAGAAGTATTCTTTTGAAATTTGTAGGACATGCTTAAAATTAATTTATTATTTCGATGAGCACACGAGTATATGTATATATTACAAGTAAAAGAGAGAAATTATATTACCTCTCCAAATTCTTTAAAGGCTCAAGATTTTCAATCTTTCCAATCCTGCCATGATTAAGGTCGAGTTCTGTGGTACTCTCATTGACGACTATGATCTCCTGTGTGTCTTCTTCCGGCGCAGGAGTTGGGGCAGAATGGGTATTCTCTCTGATGGACAGAGAGCTATGCTGTGCATTCTCTGCTCCAGTGTCGGGTACGACTGGCGCTTCATTTGGCTCATTGTTTTTTACAGGCGCATCCTTGTTGTCTATTAAACGAGTATTAGTTAGTTTAAACTAAAAGTAATTGCAACCTAATTGCAAGTAAATATACGGACAGTAGGATCTCAATCAAGAATTTGGTAATAAAGCAAAATTAACTTACCAGCCATGATTATTTTAGCACTTTTTGCTTATTTACTCAAAATTAGCGTAATCTAACCGCAAAAACTGGTTATTACGAAGCCGACACGGTTTAAAAATTTGCGTAAAATCACAAGAACAGTAACAAATATATTTTTCCTTTCATTTCTGACATTAGTCATCCGTTGTTTAGGAGTCATCCAAGTGGCGTCACAGTCAAAAATTTTCTTTTTCTTCTAGTATTTGACTCGCGGATAGTGCTTGAGCCATTATAACACATTACGACAAAATAAGTTATACACTTTTAATGAGAAGAATTATACGGGGAGATTCATATGTGAAATGTTTACAAGTTAATTATCAT